CCTTTCTCTGGTACTTACATTTCGTCTGTCCCCAAACTCCGTCTCGGGAAGGAGAGCGATGCCCCTCGCAGGTGCTGAAAAATAAGGCTAATGAAAACCTCACCAAATAAATTTCAAGGCACTGTGAAGTTCAGTTCTATATGCACTTGGTGTGTTGGTGTGTTGTGTGTGTGTGTGTGTGTGTGTGTGTGTGTGTGTGTGTGTGTGTGTGTGTGTGTGTTGTGTGGTGTTGTGGTGTGTGTGTGATGTGTGTGTGGTGTGTGTGTGTGTGAGTACCCCAGAAGGTCGTAGGGAGACAGGCCTCCCCAGGCAGCCATACAGAGGCAAGGGGAGCATCGTCAGGACTTCCACGGAGCCAATGCCCAACACGGCCATTCCTGGCGGGGCGGGAGAAGTGTTACTGAAGGCGCAGACCAAGAATTCCAAAGGAATGGCCACTTCCTTATTTGTATGCCTAATATTTGCGTATTTTCATTTCTCAACTGTCCAAGTCCGGGGCTCCTCACATACGAAATATAGAAAGACAGAAAACATCGAACATAAAAAATAATTAAATCAAAAGGTTTCTCCTGCGAACGCGAATCAAATGCGGTGCTGAAGAATCCGATCGCCATCGTCTTCTCATCGTGTGTGTCTTTTGAAACCCATTTTTTTTTTTTTTTTTTTTTTTTTTTAAGAAATGACGACAAACTCATTCTTTCGTACCCACAAGTTAGTGACAGCTTGTGACCGTGGAACAAAGCAACAGTTCGAATTTGCAAATGCTCCTTTCAGTGACTGGCTTTGGCATACCGTCCGGCCTGGCGCTCTGACTCTTGACTCTAAACTGGTTCTCGGATTACTAGTTCCCAACCTTTTCACCTCACATCCGTTTTAGGCTAAGGGCGAGAGCGAGAGAGAAAAATCGGCGATCTGTAAAACGTTTAGCTATGACTATCATGGGTATATATAATATTTTTGCAAATCCCCCATGCAGAGGCGGGATGGTGACAGAAAAGATGGCCTGACGACGATTTTTCCTTTATTCTACATTATACACCAGGGTGCCACTACGAGTAACGGGCAGCGAACACTTGCAATGTCCGTTTTTCGGCGGTTAACAAATTAACACCATGCTGTCTTTCAGGTGGCCGACGCGGTACGGCTCCAGAAAGGTGGCATCAAGGTCTATACAAGGTAAGGTTATATAAGTACTTATTTAGACCTTGGGTAGCATGAGACTTGCTGGGGCGTGACACTTTTCGCGTGCACCTAACCTAACAGCCTCTAGAACACCACATGCGTGCAGGCGTTCGCGGCCATCCGTCTCTTTCGCGCCTCCTTTCCCTTGAAATACTGCTGCACGGCGGTCACAGCACTATGAATACTGAGCAAATTGGCTTCGTGACCTTTGCCAGCCAGACCGTGGCACAGCGGTTCGAGGCCACTGCTCTAGATAATAACATCACGAAATCTTCCAAAGCACATGGTCCAGCTTCGTCTTAGGCCGCATAACTAATTAAACCGATTCGACATGACAACGAAATCCACTTGGTTAAAACCTGTCTCTCACATCAACCTCTCATAGAGTAATGAAAAGTTACGTTATCATCGCGAGCGAACATGTCCTATGAAAACTTCGATGTTAAAAACCGGAGAGAAAAAGCGTTGCCAAGTGAAACTAGCATCTGTACAGCTAAAAGAGTGTCCATATCGTCTACCTGCCGAAGTTTGAATCGATGATCCTTCGGAGTGGCCTGACATTACTGGTTTACCGATTCCAATTACCGATTACCGTTACCGATTCGGTAACGCGTAGCAACCGCACCTAGCAACGAGCACTTGGCCAAAGCAATCTCTCGTTAGTTAAAAAAAAAAAAAAAAACGTGCGTGCTTACGGATTCGCTGTCTTAATCCAAGAATTTAAGTTCGTTTTCGTGAAAATGCCAAGGAGTTGTGTAGCCGTTGGTTGTTCGAATCAGAATATAATGGGAGAGAAAGGTCTAACCTTTCACATACTCCCAGATCGCGAGAAGAAACCCGAAAATGGAAGCGATGGGTTTAGGCCACGAAACGCGTAAACGCTGATATGAGCGCTGGTGATAAAAATGTTTACATCAGCTCAGAACATCTTATTGAAGGTAAGAGTTTAATTCATCAATACATTAATATATTATACCCTTTCTATTTCTAATGTAAACATATATTCAAGCGCTCCCATCGGCATTTACCCATCGCTTCCATTTTTTGGCTTTCCTCTCGCGGTCTGAGAATATGTGAAAGGTTAGACCCTTTTTTCCTATCATAATGTGGTTCGAACAACCAACGGCTACACAACTCCTTGGCATTTTCACGCAAAAGAACTTTAAATTCTTGGATAAACACATCGAACTCGTAAGCACGCACAGTAATTTTTTGAACGAACGCGTTTGTTTTCACCAAGAGCTTGTTCCTAGACGCAGTTGCTACGCGTTCCCGAATCGGTCTATTCAACAACAAATGCGACCAAAATAGATTCAGCAAAGGCTATATCATGAATCTGTATAAAGGCGAAAGAGTATATTCAAAATGTATAAAACTTCGCTTTCAATCCAGGAAAAGAACAGCACCAATCACTCCCCATGAAATAATGTTGTTTCCCAATCACGTATGAAAAAACGTCAATGTAATCCTAGGAAACCGATCAAAATCCGGGGCTTTTTCACGACTCCAAAGGGACAGTTCCAGCCACGCAGCCCGCCGCCAGGGCCTCAGTCGCAGTTGGCTTCCAAGAGTCCTTCCGCCTCGCACGCAGTCCTCCTCCGATCCTTCGCTCGCAAAAGGAGCTTGATTTAGGCAGACCGAGAATTTGCTCACTCTGGAACTTCCTACAGTGAATCAGGATCTTAATCCAACACTAATTACTGGAATAATTTTGTCATTAACTTATTAATTCTCTGCCCACAGACAGGGCTAAAGCAAAGAGGCCTTCCACCTACAAGAAACCGAGTTCCACTTTTGACATTCCCAAACGGTATACCGCCCATCAGACTAAATACATAATTCTAATAAACTCATAAATACCATGTCATTACACGAATGCAACTGGACTATAATCAATGATAATGAAACTCGAAGGTTGTAATGAAAACGTGACAATAAACTTACTTTCAGGACCAAAGACAAATCTAGACTAAATACATGGCCATAGATCGAGCGCCAATATTTCCATTTGTAGCATATTCTACCAAAATGTAAGGCGTTAAATCCACCTTAATGATGAATATAAACTGCAATTTTATCATCAGAATAACTTTACGAAACTAGAAGAAACACCAAACCTAAGAGTTTAAAAAGTTTATTCAGAAAAATGTTATCTTACAGAGGAGTCCTGGACTCCAGCACGAGCGCGGACCTGCAGGCCTAGGGCGGGAAAAGGATCAAGCAT